TTCTGGAGTGGTACCATGGGGCACTTTCCATGCGACCAAATATTCCAAAATTTTTGAAATAGACTTGTAAATGATACAGAAATTTCCAGGGAAAGTTCCCAGAAAATCTGGAAATTGTTGAATTTCCGAAATCAAAAGCCAACCATTCAACCAAAAATTCCAGAAATTCAGGGATGAAAATCAAATGGAACTGAAATTTCCAGAAAATGTTCGAAAATTTGGGTATACCTCACAAGGAGTTAAGCGCACTAACCTTGAGGCCATCGGCACTCTTCATTTATCCTCTCTGTATTTGAAACTGGATTAATATTTTACTTTGGAATCTTGCCACTTGTCTGTTGATAATTGCTAGCTACAACTAAATTGGTCAAGAAAGCATTTCATAAAAATACTGCCCCTGTAGGCCGTGGTGTACATGTTTGTTTTGCATAGGTTGGCCAAGAAATGCACAAAGATTTATAACGCGTGAAAAGTGATTTTACCACTCATTAACCCCCTTGCTTTGCAATGTTTTTGCTGCCATTTTGGTTTGTATAAGGCCACTGCTGTTGCGGTCTAAAAAAAGTCACAATGTCGACTAATCGGCTAGCCTTCAAAACAGGCGTAATTTTTTCTGCGTATTTTAGGCGAACAGAGGTGAATGTGAAGCAAGCGCGAAGCGCAAGTCGTGCGTAAGGGGAAGAGTGCGAAAAAAATAATGCCTGTACACATACCATTGTTCAAGCTGTTCTGCCCCAGACACATCCTAAATGACCAGCCAATCACAGCATTACAAAAACAGTGGTAATCATGCTGCGTTGTAGGCCACGTTGTTTTCATCCCTAAAACAGAGAAATTACTTCTTTGGGACTTAAAATGGAAAGAAAAAACACACATCAATGTTTAGGTGGCCTCAGAGTGGAATATCAAGGTGTACAGAGTCCTCAAACCTTTCTGGTGAAGAAGTTTTCCTTCAACCACCGCAAAAGCATGACGATCGGTGCGCTTTCAAACAAGTTTTGATAACAGATCGCGGATTTAAAGCAGCGTCCTGGACTTTAGAAAGCAAAAATGGTAATGTGCAGATTTCTTTAAAATTGAATTCAACTTCTGGAACAACTGGTGAGGCCACAGCTGATAAAATGACTGCAAAAGTCGCCGGTAAAAACTCAGGCCTTCATTTTAGCATTAAAATTTATTTGAACATGCGGTTCATGCAGCAATGCACGTCTGCAAAATTTTGAACATTTGCTTGCTTTTAGACAGGTTTCTTTGCCTCATCTAAGTCTTCAATGAAAATTTATTGTTAATGAACTTCCGGTCATGTTTCTTTCCTTTGGTTGCCTTTATTTGGGAATTTTAGATTTTAAAAGTGAACAGTATTTTTGCACGCTGGATTTTAATTTATGGCGACCTCTGCGGTTTGTTTGTATAGTTTATTCGCTTTGTTCAAATATATTTGTTTGAGTCTTATTCAGCTATTATAGAACTACTGAGAAAAGAACTAAGTGGGCACTAATTTAACACAGTTGAAATTTAATTTACCCCAATAAAATTGGCATAAAATGGGGTTGACTAGCCTACACGACTTCTACAGTTTGTGACATTTGTACATTTGCCATTCTCTGTTCGGTCACTCGACCTTTTTTGTCGCTTCACTCACGTTTGTAAAGGGCACTTCATGTTGCATAATAAGGAGGAATTTTAAGTAGAGTTGAGTCGTTAGATCGTGCTTTGGCAAATTTTTATAGGTCATAGGTCTGCATGGTTTCTGCTGTCATCTGCATGTTGCTTCGTAGAGTTTGACACCTCTGTTGTATTTGAAAAACAGTTGAGGATCACATGATGTAAAGTAACCAATTGGGTAGCCGCGTTCACATTTGAACGCCAGAACAGCTTGAACAGTGGTATGCGTACAGGTGTTATTTTTTTCGCGCTCTTCCCTTCACGCGTGACTCGCACTTCGCACTCGCCTCGCCTTTGTCTCTGTTCACCTAAAACACACAAAAAAATTACGCCTGTTCTGCAGGCTACTTATCGGCATTCTGTTTGCTTCAATCTATATTTGCCATTTTAAACTCAAAGTCATTGAAAAATTCCAAGCGAACAAAACTGTGCAGCTTATTGTTTTCCACTCTGGAAAATTCTGTTCCATTCGCCCCAGGAAATTTCTGGAAATTCACACCAGAATTTTTTGAAACATAAGCCACTTAGAGTACTGGATGTAGTTCCGTATGAATTTTATGAGTGGTGTATTTTCCAGTAAAACACTCGTGTGTACTGGCATATAATAAACTACAATACTGTGAAACAAGGCCAGGACCACGGCATTCTCTAAACATAGCCGCAATGCAATTTCTCATGTCTTCACTCCAAATCTGTTCATGTGGCTAATAAATTAAGACAACAAGTATCCTAGAATTTGAGACTCCTAATAATATTCTAACTGCCTCATTGTGTCATGCAAATAGACAGAAACAAAAAGTGCAGAATATTCTTAAGTCACAGATTTGCATTTTTGCTTTAGAAAACAAAACAACAAGGAGAATCAGGGCAGCTGGTTTTATGAAAATGAAAATAACTATTATGACTCTATAACCACCACAATTCTGCACGAAAAACAGATCACCTGTTTTATAACTTCACACAGAAGTGAACATATAAATTGTTCGTTAATTCCCTTGCCATCTTAGGAAACCATGGTTGTTCCAAACAACTATGAGCACACATTCTTATTGTGTCACTTGGTAGCCAGGTGCAGAATGAAAGGGAGTTTTTCTGCTTTAAAAAATTTCATGAAATTATAAAATTTCATTCAGTCCGTAAGTTCTAAAATGCTGCTATCTCAATGGGAAACCACACAAATTTTGTAAATAGTAAAATAATATTAGTATAGATTTTGTAGTGATTGAGTTGTGTTTTTCATTTGTGTGCCAGACAAGATCTCATCTACAATTACAAATTTTGAAACTGAAATGAAATGCGTGGTGAAGATAAGCTGTTTGAAAATTATTC